CTTCATCATTTTTAGGTGCCACCACATCCTCATCTGTAACAGCACTTGGGTGGATTTCAGTCTCAAGTCAAACACTTTTCTAAAGCCCTGCATTTTGACACTGTCACCACAGTTTTACACATTTTCAAACTTTCAGTTTTTTTGTTGTTGTGCTGCTCTGTTGAAGGGCTACACTAACTACAGGTGTGTTCAGTCAGTCAGAAGCTGGAAGATACCAATTCACTTTATCTTTACTCACTCCACCTTCATCTAAGATGGATTCTTCTAGCTTCTGACTGACTGAACACACCTGATCCAGGTAATCAGCAGCGGGTAGGGCAGGTAGGGCAGGGATAGCTGGAAAACAAGCAGGGCGGTGGGCCTGGAGGACCAGGACTGCCAACCCCTGTTTTACTGTGATTGGCAGATGAGCCAATAAGCTGACCTGGAGAAAGTCGACAGGTACTCTATGGAAACCCATAATGCATTTCACTGGAGCCAGTGCATCCTGTTATCGGTCCTGCCTTCAGCTTTCTCAGTTTGTTCAAAGACCCTGTGAGGAATCCAGAGCTCATAATTAATTAATCCATTTGCTGTTTTGTTCTATTTATAGTTAACCACTTCTTTACACTAATACATCCTTCTTCCCTCCTCCATGAGCAACACAATGCTCATGCCCATGCACACTATTATCAGGTAGGAGTGGGTCCATGGCCCAGGAGGTAACTGAGAAACTATTCTGTGGCATGTTGAGTTTCAGCTCATGCTGTCACATCCACAGAAAAACAGAGCACATGCACAGGGAGCCTGGCAACATAGGCCATGCATATTTCAAATGCAAATCTGTGTAGATGGCACTGCCACGTGTTGTCTCAGTTACCAAGGGCTTGGTGGGGGTGTAGGTTGTGTGACCGTGGTTGGATTACTGAACAAACCTAGTGGGCATGGGGCCAGGGGCCCAAGGGATTAAGAGGCCCCTGACTCAGAGCCTGTTTGAAGTGAGTGGTAATATTTCTTGTTGGAAAGTCAATCAAATGACCGGAAAAAACAACCACAGAGAGTCACCCATCTGTATTTCAGAGAGATAGTGTAATTAGTCTGTGGCTCTAGAACTCCTAATAATTCAGATTTTGTGGACTTAAAAAACAAACAAACACAAGCACACACGAGCAGTTCACAAGAGACTGCAAGCTATGCTGTTTATACATGAGCTGTACAAAGCCAACCTGGAGGTCCAGTACATGTGACATGCATGATTTGTTCACTCTGACAGATTATTAAAGGGTCACTGATCGTTAGCAGATCAATGAACATTTTAGCCTCTTTGTGTTTTTGATCCTGATATAAAGTACATGGCTCTGAACCACCAGCACCAGAGAGGTTACACATTATTGTGACAATTAAGGCTGCACAGTGCACATGGCAGACCGGGCTATAAATAAACTGCCTATAAAATCATATGGGAGAGAGTAACGATGTAATGAATAACAAGGAAATATGCATTTATAAGTTTTGCTACTCACTACATTGTTGCACCAGCTGCAGATAAATGTGCAGTTTTTCCTCTGCACATCTAGTTCACACCAACAGTGAATCCCGCATAAAACATAGTGTAGACATGTCTGAACGAATATTAATAAATCTGTTTCTTTCACTTGGAAACCTGGCTTTTATTTTGTGAGTGAACACAACATATGGTCTCTGTGCTACCTATTTACATTTTACACATAGTCTTATTTTTTATGATCCCCTCCCCCAATTGTGACTTTTATGGATCATGTGTTTACTGTCAGGCAAATTTAAAACTGTTGCAGTCAAAGTAGGGTTACAGGAAGAAGACAAGGAAAAGGAATTATCATTTTTCCATTAGACTGTAAATTTGGATGTGCATTAATGAGTGAATAAGTTGAGGAGAGAAATCCCTTAGACAAAAAGGACCAATAATCTCTCCTGGGGGATTCCTATTTATAGGTACTGAATGTCACTTTAGATTAAGGTCAATAACAACCATTTGCTGCCCCCTGCTGGACAAACGTAGTTTGACTTGTATTTTACGTGCCATTGTGGTTCTACAATTTTCTTTAAACTGAAGTTTTCTCTGTACCTGATTCACATTTTAACAAGAATAACGGCCTGAACAGACAATCTTGAATGTGTAAATGTTGTCATGGTGTACCGCTCGCACAATCTGCAGTAAATGCCACAGATTTCAACTACATGGCACAGGATGTAATTCACATTCATTCATTTGCACCAGGCATCGCCCTATTAAAGCGAATATGACATAAACAAGCATCAGGCTTAAAATTTATTAACATAATTTAATTACATGAAGTTAAAATTTATTGTAGTTGCCATAATAAAAGTAAGATTTCATATTAGAAAAGGCAGCAGACTTACACAAACCTGTCTGTCCTTCTTAGAATGGTCACTATATAAATGGATAAACTGTGAAATGTAAAACCTTAAAACAAAAGCACACTTTAAGATTTTAGTAATAAAAAATCTGACTTTTATTCACTCTAACTCATTACTTTACCAAGTCAGTGTTTAAAAAGCCTCTGGTGTTGTGTAATGGAGCGTTCACTGTACAGAACCTGTGTCAACTTGCAAAGTTGAAATAAGGACCAAGGATTAAGTATTTGATTTGAAGCGCTGGTTTGTTTCCAGCTGGAGTTGACAGAGTACAGAGTTATAGTTTAGGACAGTTATGCAATTTAAATGGTTTCCTCTGGTCTACTGAAGTAAAACAATTAGTGCCGCTGCATGGCAATGATTGTTATGAAGACACCTGCATCTGCATGAAGTAATACTTATTTTAAAAATGTTCAAACCCTTGTAGAACAGTGGAGAGACAAATGTAAATGTCCACTGTCAAGTCTAACAGAAACTGGCTGCATACTACCACTGTAGAGGATTTACATTTTGAGGTTCCTACATTTTTTAAGATTACTTTTGTAGAAATGTTTGTGTAAATACTAACAACTAAACCTTTAGCTGAACGTAAAGGTCAGCTGTCACTGACCAGAGACGAGTCTACGAAAGAGGTTGAGGGCCACCGCAAAAAATGACTGGAGTTCTGACACAGAAATCTGACTTTAAACTCAGCTTAGAATTTTGACTTCTTTAAAAATCAAGTTTAAAGTTCAGCATTCAGAATTTAAAGTCAGAATTGTGAGGGAAAAAAAAGAGAACTCATTTTACAGTGGCCCTAATCCTATTCCATACAAGTCAATATAACATTTATGTGAGAAAGCAACATGTGTCCTAAATCAAGCCCAGAGATTTAGATACGTGATCCATCTGGGCTTTAAATCTATCATTTGACTTAATGCTCAACCTTCTTTAATGTCCTGGATTGTAAAGATAAGAGTTAATTAAAGCCACAAAAGCAATGAAGATCGCTCAGTTTTTAAACTCAGGACAACGAATCAAAAGCATAACAAAAGAATTTTGAAAAATACTGTATTTTGGGTCAAACAGTTTTAACAGAACAACAATGACATTTCCTTCAAAAAACTCGTACCTCAACAAACTGAAGCATTGAGCACAGTTTCACAGTTAATGGGCATTTAGTTCAACCATCTTTCAAAAACAGTCAAGTAAAAAACAAACAAACATGAAATGCATGGTCAAGTGGTGCTAAGAAATCTTACAGCATGTTCGTGAAGAAAGCCCTTTCTGGTGATAATGAAAACAAGATCTCACAAACTAATGAAGAAACTAAAGCTGCAGCAGATAAACTTGTTTTTGTTTACACACTTTTAATTGTTTGGATATTTGGTACAAGTTTGATGCATCAATTTTAAATCATGCCAATTCGATAGCATAAATCAAAATCTACAAATACAAGCATCAGTTGCGCCTCTGACATGATAGAAAAGCTGAAGCTTTTAGCCTTAATGCTATTATAGCTACTGCTACGTCTACTGCTGAGAGAGAAATGTGTGGTGAGCACTGTTCAGGCTAATGATAGTAATCATGTTTCTTTTAAAAAAAAAAAAAAAAAAAAAAAAAAAAAAAGTGTAAAACCGTTGAATTCCAGATCAGTTTGACAACACGGGTAGAAACACCGAAGAGTGTTTGGTGTCATATTAAAATGAAGGTACACATTACTTGTCTCTTAAGCTAGCATGATATTCAAACATGATTTTGCTGTTATCTATTGTTCACCTTGTAGGAGAAGACAATCTCATAAAAAAAAAAAAAAAAAAAGACAAAAAGTGTAAAACCGTTGAATTCCAGATCAGTTTGACAACACGGGTAGAAACACCGAAGAGTGTTTGGTGTCATATTAAAATGAAGGTACACATTACTTGTCTCTTAAGCTAGCATGATATTCAAACATGATTTTGCTGTTATCTATTGTTCACCTTGTAGGAGAAGACAATCTCATAACCATTATTCAATCAAACAGGTTTCTTACAGCAAGTTGAATCAAAGGGGAAAATTCCCCATTCACACTCGTTACTTTATGTTAACGGACTAATTCAAGAAGAGTCTGCCACGGTGAAATGGTTCAGGGACACTTCAGCCTTAGTTCAATGAAAAACATCCAAACTTGCAATATGTACATGTTTAAAACGTATGTCCACTGCCTTTCAATGAACAGTGACATATCACCCCTCAGCCTCCTCTAATGCAGAACAGTTTTCTAATGTACCGTAACTTTGAATCCCTTCAGCACAACAGGCAGTATACAAGTCATTACCCTGGATCCATAAAATGAGTGTGACAGTGTGCAGAGGGGGAATTTCCAAAACCATTCAGATTAGACTTATTTGTGGAGGCAGCTGCTCTAAATATCACTTGAGGCTAAATTTTAGCAGATGACTCTCTTTCCAATTGTTTGACTCTTAAAGCTGCACTAATCAATATTTCTTACATTATCAATGGATCAAATGACTGTGTGGTGTGACAGGGGTGGTTCAAGATGATGAAATGACAGAGAGCCACCCAACGCTGTAGCTCCTCTCAGCCCTAAAAAGTTCAAACTCTCATCTTTTAGTACACTGTTTTGCTTTTCCAGTATGGAGACTCCATTCTCATCAAGCTAACATCTTGACACAGCAGGTAGCTGTTGTCAGGAAAAAAGCCCTAAAACTGCTGTTGCTCAGCCTGCTGCATATGGAAAAATAAACATCTTTTATCATTATTCCTTTGTTTCTAATATTTCGCCCCCACTCTTATGGAAATAAGGAGGAACAAAACATCACAAACAATTGACAATGTTGGGATTTACTGCAGGGTTACTGCATTACTTTAAATAGCTCAGATGTACCTAATATACTGGTAAGTCAGTAAATCAGATTCCAAAATGAGATCCAGACCAACAGGCTCATGTAATGGGTCTGAATACTTTTATAAAGCAGCTGCAGGCATTGGTCTCCAGTGCTTTGGAACTCTAAGTAAGGGCAGAAATACTTTTCTCTGAACTCATACCGCAGGACTTTTGGTCGTTTTCTGCACACAACCCAGACAATTCCCTAGACAGGAAGCTTGCGTGACATAATCCAGGACAAGGGGAGTCCAAACATGGACGTGGTGAGATGAAAATAAGAGCAGCTTAGCTTCCCAATCTTGCCCCTGAGTGGAGCATTGAGGGCTGAATATAAAACCTTGCGGTTTGTCATGTCTCACCTTGGCAGCAGTTCACAGGTCCCTTACTAGCTCACTGAAGTATTGTTACTCTCCTGAGCCCAGAAACCTCAGGAAAGAGGGAGCATCATGTGGAGTGAAGCTGAATAAATACAGCAGTGTATAATTACATACAAAATACCTTTGACTACCGCCTCAGTGTGCCAGTGGGTGCAGAATGGCACTTGACATTTGTGCAGCTACATTATGCTCTCACGTCACAAAACTGTCAGTTCTGTAGAATCATTTTTCCCCTTAACAACTGCTTTTTAAGTGTCTCTGGAAACCCTGTAACTCAAAGCAGGCAGGCCTCAGACAATCACAACAGTACACTTTCCTTCTGTGCTCTCTATATAAAGTACTGTCTCTCTTTCCTGGGGTTTGGTAAAATGGCAGTATCCCCAGTAGGCTTCATTTAGAGTGCTGTTCAGCAGAGTCGGGAGCCAAAGAGCCACAGATCCTCATGGGTCTGCAGCCAAATCTGAGACCTGCTACTCTGTGTGCCCTCAGCAGTCTGTGGGGACCTGGGGAAGAAGGCATTCTCTTCTGTTTGGTCAGTACTTATTAATCCCAAAGATCCTCACACCATGCAGCTGGGGCAGCTTGGGGATGAGTACAGTGAGCAAGGAAACGGTGTTGACCACAAAATGGACCCAATCATATTTGGTGTAGAAGCTGGTTAGGATATACCTGAATCAGGGATAAATAAGAAGACGTAATGATTACAGGGGAATAACTGAGCTGGTGACTACTGTACCTCCAAATAAACTTTATTCATGTTAGCATTTCACCAACAGCTCTGTCACTGACAAGTCTTTTTATCAACAAGTCTAAGGAACACAACAAGGGAAAAACTTGGATTAAAATTCAAACATTCCATAAGCCACGTGAAAGACTCACTGATTTGTCTTTTGTTAATCACAGCAAAACGTTTCCCCAACTCAAAAACACAATGTCACCACTAGAAGCTGTGAGAATGTTTCGACGTGCACATCAACTGACAGCAACACTGGTGATTATTAAACTCAAATTAAGCTCATCTTTATTGTGGTAAACATTAAAAATGCTTCTAATGCGAGTTATACACATACATACATATATATAAGCCACTTGTCTCCTCCTGCTGGCAGCGGGTGTGAAATAAAATGATGAAGAGGTCTCTGAAACTTGTGCAAAAAAAGGGTACACCTGCAAAACTGCACTCACAACAATGTTCAGGATGAGATGGCAAATCATCCTCATGGACCCAGAGTGCTTCCTGTAAACTGAACTCTGCTGCTTAATAAGGATAGAAAAGGACACTAATGCAGCAAATGGTACTGCTGCAAATACCAAGCCTCAGCAACTTGGGAGCTTGGCTAGTCGAGGAGCAGCAGGGATGCTAACCAATTAGCACTCTCTGCAAGTGCAAACTCAAAGACAGAGGAACAAGAGGAGTATAATCTTACTCATAGCACATGCATTCGCTCAGTCCCTCATCAGTGTGGTTAGCAATCTAAATGATTCGCTTATTACATTATATATTTATATATTTATTGATTTAAACATGAGAGGGTCAGGAAGAGAGAGCTATAGGAGGAGGGCAGCAGCCAACGTGCTGCTGCTGTGAGAGAGCTAGGGCAAAAGGCGCAGGTCAAATGAACAGCACTACAGTATCACTGTATTCAATTAAAAAAAAGAATTATAAAAGCGTGATGCCCACCACCCCCCGAGCTACTGTCACAATTAGAATGTAATTCTGTGGGAAACTGCAGCTTCAGTTATAAGCGTGTGCATAGTTCTAAGGTCTGATGAGACTGATGTGAAATCATACAGCAGAGAAACCAGTCAGCTGAGTTTGAGGCAAAACATTTTAGAGTGCTCACATATTGTTGAAAATTACTGTATATGATAATTATACTCACAATGTAGAGCTGAAGTGACATTCATCAGTTAAAACATTTCAAAATGCACCTGCATTGTTTTGCATTTTGTGATTTTAACAGACTATTTTTCCAGTCATATATTTTGTCTAAAAAAAAATTGTGTTAAAATATATTGTCGCATTCTCGTGAACCCAATATCGTACATCGTCACACCCCTGGTACTCCATAAACCATAATTTTGCTGTACTTGCTTCTGTGAGTGCACTTGACCTTAGAGCCATGCATAATGAGCAGCTGTTCTCTCCACCTGTTACACAACTGAAGGCTGAGGAAAACAGTATGTTCAGAGGGCCACTTACAGGACAATAGGTATGATGGTGAGGAACTTGCGTGAAGCAGTGAATTGTACACCATAGTCCATCTGCTCCCAGTGGGTAAGGAGGCGAGCCTTGCCCTGATCTGGGGTCTCAAAGGGCGTCCCTTTGACCGTGTGAAGCAGGAGGTACATGCACTGCAACAACAGGACACACACAGGCAGAGACAGAAAGGAACCCCACAGTAAGACACGTTAACTACATACTGGTGAACGAATAATACCACTCACTGCACATGGGACAAAACTACTCAGGACATTAGCCATGCCCACCTCCCTGGAAACTGAGAAGTTAAGGGATCAGTTTTGTACATATTCTTCAGCCCTAAAGCTACAAGTGAATGTGTTCTCAGGGTTCCCATCACTAGAAAAGCTCTTTTAAACAGGGAAAAGCTCAACTCTTCCTACAATACCTCAGTGCAGCTGCATCAACGGTTTGCATGAATTTAACCAACAGTACTATTCATAACTGACTCTTTCATTTTGCAGTCCTCTGTTATCTGATATGTTTTTCCTCCACTGACTGGACTTGTTCAGTAAGGCCAAGTGCAGTGCTACTGGTGCCTATGGGTAATCAGCTCCACTGACCAGATTATGGATGAGGTTGGTGAGAGTCCAGACCACGGGCACGCTGACAAAGGGGATGCTGAGCAGGATAATGTGCAGGAGGCCGATTCCTAGGATGTAAGACAGCCACATTCCCCTGCTGCTCATCACACGGGTGTTGGGGTTCACCTCACTGTGCGCTGTGCCCACATTCATGATGGCGGTGGTGGTACTTCAAAGCGGTACCTACTGTACGACGTACAGACACCAAATGAGCTTAGCTGGAACACAGCTGCTGTAAAGTAAACAGAACTGTCAGACTCCAACTGTAAAGCATTAATTCATAATGTAGAGGGTTAACTCATGTGAACGACTCCAGCTGTGCATGAGCAGCACATCCGGAAAATCCTAATTATGTGACTTGCTTGACTCATATTTTCATTTATTATTCTTTTTGTTTTTTCAGCTACTCCTCTAGGGGGTCCACATGAATATGTTCACAATGTTTCAGTAAAAAGAACAATCACTACAAAACTGTTTCTGTATTTTACCATGTTACTTAAAAAAAATTCACAAAATACGCATAATTACATTAATAAAAGAAACGAGGTTTTGGATTTACACGAGGACTTTTTAGGACATATTTGTATATCATTATGAATCAGTTTAAAATGATCATTATTGCTAAATATCATTACTACTGTGGCATTTGTTTTAACCATTGGGCAGTTCTATTACCTAATGGTCAAATACAATCAAATACAACCCTAAAACAATCAAATCAGCCAAAACTGACCATGAGTGATTTTAAGAGACACCTGCCAGCCAGTGAGAAACCAGTATCTTTGGTGCTCATGGTATATGTGGAAAATAATAGGCTATGACTGAAGTTAAATTAGGATGTGGCTTTTAGAAGTGACCTTTGGGCTGAAGATAAACGGCAAAATCACCGTTTGTCTGAGGAAATGCAACTGACTGATAAGAGTAAACAAGCTCCTCGTCGTTCACGCTGTCGTCTAAACTGTCCGAGCCTAAAACTGGCTGCAAAATAATCCGCAACGTAACAACACACACATATCTACAGGTGGACTACCTAGCAGCACCGGAGTTAAAGGTGTACCAATGTTTGTTACTTATAAATGAATACATAAATGATTACACTTACTGCAGAGAAAAATGGCTTCAACTCCGACCTGTATTGGCACCAATGCGTTATCAGTTTTTTTTGTCTCAAAGATGCCTTCAGTTACACAATTTATACTTTCAATGGGAGACCTCCAGTATTTCTATCTGTCACTTGGTGCCAATTTCAGCCCCAAACGCCATGCTTAGGGCTACGGTCAGCTCGTAGATGCACAATCAACCGTGCTACGTCCACTTTTCGTTCGCCTTCGTCCAACAGCTGATGACAACACGGCACAGTTTATAATGCAACGTCATCACCCTCGGTTTCACTGCCCCATGGCTCCGGTGAGTGGTTTTACTACGCGCATTCTGCTGTGATTGGTTGCTTTGGGTCACGTGGCCAACGCTGACCTATCAATGTTCAATGCGTTTGACTACGACTACAACGCCCCCTTCGATGTCACAGTGGGGGAGGGAACAGAAGACGGGAATGATTGACACTTTGGGAATGTTTGATAATGGAAAAGGAAAACATTGTAAAAACGAGCATTTTTATCTTCTTTTTTGTTGTTGTCGTATTTTGATTTCTCTAAAAGATTTTGTGTGTACAGCTGTGTATTTGAGTCTACAGCTGAAAGAATGCTACAGACTGAACATTAAAAAAAGGAAATCAAATTCCTTCAGGAATTTGATACATTAACACATTAGCAAATTTCCCTTTATTTTTGCATCCTAAACATTTTTGTGTGATAACTTTTATCCATGTTTATTTTTATTTTACTTCATAAAGTATTTTATAACATTGTAAAAATCAAAAAATGATGCAGTAAAAGCTACACACACACACACACATATATATATACACACACACACAAATCTGTTCTGGTCAGTGTTCTCTCAGATGTTCGACCTTCATGGTACAGAATGAAGTTTGACATGAAAAGGCTGTTTTCACATTCATCTGCTGCTGAGGGAACGTTTAGGCAATTTTAAAGTTTAAGGTATATACCTGCAAGCATAATTTATCACAACTAATATGAACAGCAATCATGGTCTAATAGGCAACATGACAATGACAGGCCTGAACATTTGGCCGGCACTGCACATATAGTGCATGAGAGAGAATGTCCCTCTAGTGAGACAGTAGTGAAACAAAACATATTAGCAAATTAAAAGAACAAGAATAAATGTCATTTTAAGAATTTCTAAGCAGATAAGTAAACTTTTTCCACCATATCAGATCCAAATTATTATTCAGAGCAGAATATTTTTTAAATATGTCTGAACAGTGACAATTTCTGCCTTCCCATTCTACCTTCTACCCAGTAAACTGTGCACCTAATTCTAAGTTGACTATATATGGGTTTGCATTGTGCCTTTGTCTTCTTTGACACAGATGAAGACATCAGTGTCAAATGCTTCGGTTTTTTGCACAATTACAGGCTTCAAATTAATCACTGTGCTCCAGTCTTTTCTTCCTGATGTTGTTGAGAGACTTCACACCATAAATAGCTGTGGCACTAGGGCAAAGTGACGAAATTCTCACAGGCACTGGGACTCATCATCTGGGCACAAGAGTGTTTACGCAAATTTCAAGGCAATCCATCCAGTGTTTGTTGAAATAGTTCTGACTTTGTGGCTCAACTGACTGTCTGGTAGAACAGACACTGCAATCCCTAGCATCATGCCTATGGCTACAAATAAAGCAGCTCTTACAGATATTTACAAAACAGAGGAGGACACTTGAGATAAGGCCAGGGATGTGTATCAGGGTCCTTAAGATTTAATTTAAATTCACTTTAATAGGTGCTAGTGTGGTGGAAAACCATTCCTCATCTGATTTGTTATTGTGTCACAGTAATAAACAACAAATCAGTCACACAACGTCCATGTAATTCATTTACTGATATTTCATACATTATGTTTACATGCTGCCTCACTCTGTGTAGACTGTGTGTGCGTGTGTTCATCAAACGTAACCAGCTGCCTTGTTCGTTCTGCAGAAGCAAGCCAAATGTTTCAAAGCGTTCGGAGATTAAGCCAATGCAGTTTGTGTCTCACGGGATGTGGACAGGGAGAGAGAGACACTTGAAGGTCAAAAACTATGCAGTGTGTAAAATTAATGTTTTGCCTCCCAAACTTGGAGGTAACATTGAGAATGGAGTGACTTATGAATCATGTCAAAAACAAAGACAGACATTAGCTACATCTGAATACTGTTTTAGCAAGCTTTCACTAAAAGGAATGCCAATGTCAGTTAGGAATGCCAATGTCAGATAACTGCAATGAGTGTCTAAGTATAGAGGGAACAGAGAGGTGAGACACAGTTGGTAGCATGTGTCTTGCTTGCAAACCTCAGGGATCAATACTGCTAAGACTGTTTGGCCTGAGTCCTCTGGCTATAGGTAGATAAGTTATTTCTGTATTAAATAAGTCTCTAGGTCTGACACCTCTCTAGCAGTTACCTATGTATAAAAGGAGGCCTTGACTCCTTATGTAGCCAAGGTGAGAGAAGACCTTGCTAGAGGCGATGAAAAGTGACTGACAGGGCTGATACTTTGGTCCCAAAATCAGAGATCAACAGTGTCATGTTCTAGATCTCAAGATAAACCCTGATACTAATTTAGGCCTTCAGTAGCCCGAGGCTTTAGGGGTCAACTGCATTCTACTTGCATGCAATGTTACATGACACCCAGTGTTTCTAAGGGCACCCCTGTAATGAGCAGCATCAAACAGGTCTGACCGACTGACAGTGGACACTCTCATACTGTATGCTCGTAGCCTTGGGTGCTATGGCTGTGTTAGCTATGTAAACCTAGAGCTCTGTTCGGCTGCAAACTATGGATGACAGTGCTGTGAGGTCATTGCTGGCTCTGGAACAATGGCCAAACAACTGACAATGATAAAATACACCTCAGCAGGGAGGGGTACAAACGGTGATGCCTATATCAGCTCAGCAGGATGTCATCTGTGTATGTCTGCCATTGACAGACACAGTTGGTTTTAAAGGGAGACATTTTGGCAACATAAATACACTTTAAATGACTTATGGTGTTAGGAGCCAGATTCTGAGTAACAAAATAAAATAAATCACTTCTAAAAACAAGCCATTATTTTAAAATTTAAAGTGGGCTGACCTATAAATATTGTAGGTTTGAGCAGTATACATATAATAACTAGCATTTAAATTACTAATTCTTTAGTCCGCAGGTTGTTACTTTCATGTTTTACTGTACAACACATCTGAAAAAAAATGTACACTGTTCCAGCAAACAGTGATGTGTCTCTCTACTCTTTGGCTCATGCGCACACGATACCTGGCTTTCAGATGTCATTTGATTCTGATAACAGCACTCATGCCAGCAGTAAAAGCTTTTAATGGTGCTTCTCTGTTCTGGCATCACCCGTAACCTTTAGCTGTGAGTCCAGTGTTAATACTTCATTAGAAATTTATATTTTTCTAAGGCATAACAGTTCAGAAATCTACAGAAGAGGATTAGGGCCACTGTACAAAACTGAAACTCCAAATTCTTTTTTCTCAGAATTCTGGGTTGTTCACTTGTCTACTCGTGGGCAGCTGACACTGGACAGCTCACCAGTCTACCACACACTCAGATGGGCAATTTAGAGTCACCAGTCAACCTAAACTGTACTTGGAGAAAACACACGCAGGCACAGGGAGAATGTGCAAACTCCATGCAGAAAAGCCCCGGGTCAGCACAGGCTCGAACCGGGAACCTTCTTGCTGTGAGATGACAGCATTAACCACTGCACCGCTGTGCCACCCTTTGTAACGCTCATTGACTGATTCATCAAAAACATAGCTGCCACATTACAGACTCAAGACATCAAGCTTTCAAGAAGCAGTACTTCATGTGTACACTTGTCAAGAGCGTCTGATTGTGTGTGTGTGACCAGCAGATGTCACCATTAACACACTATGAACTGTTTCCTGGAGTGTGTACTGTGATACACCTAGAGTGAGGGAACACTAATAAAGCACACAGATCCAGTATAGTTATTAAGCAAACCTCATGTCCCCTGTGGATTTGTGCTTCTCACCACCAGCACAGAAACAAAGGGCTGCAATCCTGAACACATTGCTTAAAAGTGCATTGTTATGCAGCTGCGCAGTGTAAAGTCAGTACTTGTGACGTGACAGCGTCTTCATATATATAAAGAGGATTCATTTTGATAATAATAATAATTAATCAGCAGGATTCACTTTCCAAAGTGAAACCGCATGGTTTTACTCCAAATAAATATTAATCCCAGCAGGTTATTTTGCCAGTAGGTGCATCTGGCTCAAGTTAACGCAGTGTAATTTAATTAGTCCTGTTTTCATAGAAGCTCTCATGTGCAGATTTTATTAAAAGTGTCTTAGAGAGGTGTTGATTCAACTTTCTGGTCATTCTGGAGGCTGTAGTTTGTGGTGGTGGTGTTGCTTTATACTGAGAGGTATTTTTTGTTTTCTGTCCTCCCCAACCTTTACATCAAGATGGATACTACTTAGTACATGTCACTCAACATATACAGCCTCATCTTTGTGTTTCTTGTCATTTCACTGATGAATTTGCTGACATTTTAATCAGTAATTCATATTTCCAGCACTTTCCACACTTCCTGCCAAGTGTTAGGCAACATGAAAATGCTCAGCGAACTCTGATTCTGCATATGAATGGTGTACAGAAGAACTGGCATGCAGCGAAGCCAAAGGGGGATATGCTCAAACTCAACAGCGCTGGTAAAGTATCATTAAATTAAAAAAACTAAATGAAAACCATTACCAACAAAAAGCATCTGTTTATTTTTGGTAGTTGCTGCCATTATCAGCTGTAACTGAGCAATGCCACAGAAAATGTTAAGTGAAAATACAGAAAATATGCATGGTTATTAATATGAATGTGCTCTTAAGGTCAGTGGCACTGGGGCTTGTATGTCCTGTAGATGAGCTGGAGGTGACAGGAATGACACTGCTGGGGCAGTTTTCTCCAATAGGAGGGGTGGACTTGTGACCCAGGCGGGTTTGGATCTTAGCCTCGCTGGAAAAGGCTGACGCAGGGAGTCCATTATTGGCCCTGGAGGAAGCTGAGGATTAGAACACCAAAGAATTTCAATAAAAGAAGTGTCTGTTTGGGGGTCGGGGAGGGGCAGAAGGATGATGGAGGCGGTGGGGCGGTGGGTTCCCCTCATTGTTCCAACAGTGATTGAGAGCAAGAGGAGGGGAGTGGGACTGCATTGTGTTTGCAGCTCCTCTGAAGAAGGTGGTTATTGGGGGGATGGCTGAGGAGGGGTGAGGGATGGGGAGGATGTTGACTCTTCATCTTGTGTGAACAAAGTCTCTGGCACATAGCCCTCTTCTGTCCCTCTGTCTTGGACTCCCTTGTTTATGAGTGCCATGAATTCTGTCCTTCCCAGTGAGGACCCCCACCAACTCCAACCTGCACCGCTGCACATTGTGGGCTTTAAGTGCCCTTTAATTAATGTCCGCCCGAAGACCGCTGAGGGTTTAGGCTCATCCTCGTGGGCTGAGAGGCTCACCCACACAAACCGAACTTCCCTCACTCAGCCCAAGGATGAAGCATTTGATGCTCAAACAAGAAAGGCTTATTTGGGGGAAGAGTTTGTGTCATCTATGTCCCATCTTAAGAAATCTTGACAAAGGCACTGATATTATCTTTAACACTCTCCCATTTCCAGGACACATTAGACGAGATGCTGCTACATTCTCTCAGCCATCAAGAGGACATGACTTCCAAATGTCTCCAAAGAAATCCCGATAGTAAACATGACATAACACACTGGGAAGCTGGTATTAATTAATCATAGATAGAGTCAAAAGGAAATGTGTTTCATGGTCATGAAATTCAAGTGGAAGGTTTCCATCCTGTATATTAGGTAGAAGAAATAGCATGAATTCATGCAAAAAATATGTAAACAAGTGTCAATTCACATAAATGCACGCTTCCATATACACAGCCAAACATATGCACAGCTTTGTGATGGAGCACATTTCATTATCATAGCAGCAAAAAGCACAGACTCCAGTATATAAAGGAGGAGGTGGGCAAGAGGCATTGGGAATTTCCTGAACTGCTCCAACAAAATGAGCAATTCCTGGATGCCCCATTGTGTGAAGAGCTTACAGGGTGAGGGCTCTGAAAGGAAGAGGCAAAGGAAGGACATAAACATGGGAGCAAGGGAAATAAAGTGAAAAATGGAAGGAATGAGACAGAGAATGATGAAAAGAAGTCTGTGTAGGGTGGGATTGGGCGTGTTCAGAAACTTTTTCGCTACAGCCCAGTGTGTGTAGATAGCCTCCTAATCCTGGTTTTATTGGCTGCCTGTGTCCAGCCAGGCTAGTCGGATTGAGTAGGGAGGGTACAGAGGCGGGGGGCTGAACACATGTCCTTCTTTGTGGTAATACGCTGATTAGGCCTGAGAAAGAGCCGGACCTGGTTACGGCCTTTCTCGGGTCACCGTAGAAACCAGCCCGGTAGGGGCCCTCAATGCGTGCCCCCCTCCTGTGCACCTAGTGATGCTCACATGCAGACAGAGGCCTTCCTTTGCAGAGATTGGTACAAAACTCCACCATAAGCGTTGCTGAGTCACAGTCCATTGCAAGATCAGGCTCCTATGTTCTTGACCTTAATTGCTGTTGCCTTTCCAGGCAGTTCACGTTGCACTTGTGGCCTCAACCTGGGACACGTGGTTTCAATGTTGTTCAGATGCGGACCGCAGACTGATTCCTTTGCCTGCACTCATAAATTGGACTGCATCACATCCCTCCCAGCTCTGGCCCTGCACACAGTCTATTGCTCCTACAGAGCAACTGTCATCCAAATCCCAGAGCTGAGCTCGGCACATTTTTGACAGTGCCGTAACACATGACAGTGTTCATGATTAAAAGCAGACCTGCCTAATTGTCAGCATCATCATGACATACTGCATCTTGACTTGAGGTATTGAAAAGTCATCTCTATTGGTATAATGTAGAAGACTCACCACAACAACTGGCTAGAGAACAGACTTCATACAAGTTTCACAATGATATCTATCAATTACTGTCACATTTAGAGACTCTGAAGACCCACCGCCAAGGAGGGCGGTAGGTCGAGTGCTGCTCAGTCACTGCCTCAGTCACTGCCTGTTTTCCTATCTCCTTTGTTATGAAGGAATAAAACACAGAAGGGGCGAGTGAAAAGGGGGCACTCACCACTGACCTCCAGACTGTGGTCACTGGGCACTCGGTCTCCTCTCTGCAGAGTGCACGCTCCCAGCCCCTGCTGAGCGACCTTCCAGCCCCCTCAGTTGTCCGACCTCCCACATGCCCCGGAGGTGCTCAGCAGAAAGACCACGGCTCCCTGGGCAGCAGACACTGGAGGAGAAGAGGAGCAGGATATTCTGTTCAAATATAATTACTGCTAGTACATTTAAAACCACTTAGAAGTAACGGTGTTTGCGTTACAGTAACATGTCCAGTGTGATGTTTGTGTCACCTGTCATTTCAGCTGCACTGTTACTCATTGTCAGTGTCTGGGCCACATTTAATCTCCAAAGTCCACTAAAACAGTTTCCATTCATTTGTTGCAGTGTTATTAAATCAGGATGGCATCAATAAAACATTTGTCATTAAATATATTTTAACCTTTCTTACTTGGAAACAGTTCTCCCAAAGGCTGCCTTCCATATGGCTCCACACACTCAATCTGCTGTGAAATCTCTCGTGAAATCCATCTGGTCTAACAAATATCTAAATCTGTAATAAGTGTATGAAACTGTACGTGTCCAAAAAGGCCTTTAAATCTAGCACAGTGACAACCTGTGGTACGCTTCATTTATAGGACTAGGAATCATCCTGAAATTCATCAGTAACATAGCACCACTAACAACTGGTAGCAAACTGGTCGGGAGGTTAAAATAATCCTAACGTCACAGAGACTTCAGAGCCTCACTCTTTAAAAATGATGTTCTGTGAAGTCAGCTGTGAAATTTGTAGTGACGAAAACCTTCACTTTTGGTCATGTCTTTAGCGGTTTTTCTTTCCTCAATAACGGCTGATGATCCTTTGAGACAAAACCCTTAACTTGATTGTTATCACTACAACTGTCTGTTTGATCTCTGTGGATATCTTCATCCTGATCACCTTCCTTGTGTGTGAATCGACTGCATGGTTACTTCAGGCTAAGTCCATCACAAGTGTCCCACGCTCCTCCTTCACTCTCCTCTCCCTCCTCCCCTTGTCCCATGGCTGCTTGCCCCACAGCCCATCAGAATGACAATAGTATTGATGTAAAAATGTGTCGCCTTTGGGCCGCTGGAGCATATAACCTCTGCATGCCTGGCCCAGCCACCACCACACTTTATGGCTTTATTGTGTCCCCTTTTATGTCCCCCTGTTGGGGCGGGCAGACAACAATTTAGAAAATTCACTGTATACGTGCCTGTGAATGGGACCAAGATTGTGTTGACGTGTGTCTGTGCATGTGCACTGTATGCATGTATATCCGAATCAATTAGTCAAGGCACAACCCCTAAAAATCAATGTGTCCACATGCTCGATCTCCAGAGGACAAGTTGCCTCCTTCCCTTCACCTACCTCCTTTTTCCAGTGATCACGGATGGAACAAGTTGAGTAACAACTTTACCTTTTCATGTGTCCCTCCCTATACCTCCCTCTCTCATTTCCCTCCCTCCCTCTTTTCGCTCTTTCCTTTCTTTTCCACATTACCAGGGGGTGGCGTGTGATTGACAGATGGGAACGAATAATTTTTTTTTGTAACCTAAGGCCATCTTCTGTGATTGGCTTGCCAGCTGACATCTCCAAACCTCATCCCCCCCCTTAATATTGGGCCTGTGGATGAGGCATTCTAAGGGAGAAAAAAGTAGAGAGAGAGAGAGAGAAAAAGATATCTACCTTAGGGAAGAACCTCAGAGAGAGGGAGGGAAGGAGAGGACGGGTAGGAGCGTGTGTGCAAGAGACACTTATTCTCTTAACTACTAGGAGACAGACACACTTTCCTGGCCCGACTTAAAGAGGGGGGAAAACAGGAGCAAGATTTTTTTTTTTTCAATATCATTTCAATTTTCCCCTCATTCACCAATCGCTTCCTGGAAACTCCTCTTCATACTGGAAGTTCTATGTATTGATTCATTTGCCCTCTCACACACTACAAGGCTTACCTCATGGATTTGTATCTGATTGGATATTTGATGTGTGTGTGGTTGTCCAGCTCATGGGTGCTTGGAGGCTATCCCATCTGGTGGTGAGTACAAATCCACAGTTTCAACATCAGACCCTAGTGCTGCATAAAGAGAGAGAGTCATTTTGGTCAGAAGATCATTTCTGAGAGGGCCGAATGTGCACTTTTAGTTGACTGCGTGGAAATTTGTTCTCCGGCCTAGTCCAAAGAATCTTAACCTCAAATATTATTGTAACGGAAAAGGCTCGCCGTGCTTTTCCCCTCTACACTCAGGTCCATTTATCACATTGGAGTATGTTGTGATGGAAAGAGGGTTGATTCTTAATTTGGGAACCAACAAATTATTAAATAAGCAGATTTCTTTGTAGAATTTTAGAGAATAATCTGAGCGAGTGGTTGCCATATTGGTATGAATTGTCAGCAGCTCTATAAGGACTTGTGAGACATTTCCAAACAACAGTGTAAACCAGGAAGATCTTATTCATTAGTGCCTAAACTGTGGCTACTGTGACAACACCGATGTTGCTCATGAAACTCAACAATGTCTATAAACCAAAATAAATCTCTTGAAATACCACCGTATCATTTTAAGAGTACCTTAGGAAGTTCAACAATCATGACTTACAGGATCAGGATATATTGTTTGTTTGTTACTGTGCATCACTGTTCTACATTCAGCTCAGGTCGCTGGCACCACCACCTGCCATGGATTTAATTAGAATTGTTTTTTGTAGCTGTATGACAAACACTGATCAGATTTGAAATTATTAAAACTATTAAACATTAAAAAACTGCAGCCTGCCATTGGGTTTAAGTTGTAATTAAATCAATCCACTTTTCTTGAAAAACAGTTACGCATATAATTTCACTTTTCAATTCTACCACAATTCACCCTCTCCACTACGGATTTGTCAGGGCACAATATGTTTAGGTACCGCAGGGTTGTATTCTTTGTTAAATTATCCCAAATCGCTTTTGGCACCAGCAACTGACATTTAGAGGTTTATCTCATTACAAATTCAGCTACATGCAGCTGACCTCATAGCTCCTGGTCTTCTTTTGTAACATAAAGCTTCTATTTTGGAGATATTTGCGTAGGCGTATGACAAAGCTCTTTTGGCTCACAATACAATACTTGTCAGAGGTATTGCACTTTTAGTAGCCCAACTAGCATGTGGTCCCACCATAGAGCTGTCCAAACCGCAAGCATCTTCTGGTTTCATTTACAGAGCAGGCAGCTGCCAAGCACACAGGCCACAGGGCTGAAGTGCTAATGGCAAAGAGGACTTTACACCCGCTCCTGGCTTCAGCAAGACCCATCAGACAACAGTGACAAAGAGTCTGGGATGCTCTCTCTGTGAACTACCTGCAGCTGTTCTGCTCACGGAGCTTACATGACACCGGTATAATGTTCGAACCTAAACAATGCGCACCACCTTTGATTTGGGTGACAATTTTTAAAGTGTAGGCTGGGGTACCGGTAACTGGGACAGCGGGAAGATGAAAAGCCAGGCAGTAGCTCCAGGTGACTAGGCAGGTGCTGAGGAACTGGTGTCAAACAGCATCAGTGGCATCACGCCACAGCATCGAACACGTCCACAAGGAGACTAAATGAGATGGTGCATCAAGGGCCCAGGCAGGCTCCTCTCAGCTTCTGTCTCAGGGGCGATGGTTTGGCCATAAATTCTCCAGCCAAGGTGGGACAGGTTGGAGGGAAGAGGAGCTCTGGCTGCTTTATGCCTGGCAGCCTTATAAGATGGGGTGTTGAAAGCACAAGAGGGCATAAATAACTCTAGTGATATGCACATATGCACGGACAAAGGGGGGTGTAGTGGAGAGAAAAGGCAAAGCAAACTAATGAAGTGGGTTTGGAGAAGCGAGACAGAGCAGTAAATTACCTTCTGCAAATGCAAGAACAGTAGTTTTGTACAAAACTGGCAAACCCAGGTTTCACGACAGCTTAAGGATGTGGTGACCACACATAATTCACAGGTCCCACAGTGCCATTCTATCTGTGTGGTTTGAAAATGAAAGCATGTCTGTTCTGGGACTTAATGCTGTGTTTTGGTTTCACCCTTTAACCTACGTTTAATTATTGAGGAATATCAAAATATAAGAACTTGAGACAGAGGACAATGACATACTGTAATATGCGGTTCTTTATAAAAGCCAAAGTTGTTCATAAAAGCTACAGCCACTATTGTATGAAGTCAGTGTGGCTTAACTCATCAACTATTTTCAGAACTGCTTAAGCCACTCTGTCAGCCAACAGTGCATTTGTGTTCTTGCGTAAACAGCAGCCGTTGTAAGTGAATGTTGACAGTCACTTTCAGCAAGGAATTACCTCTGCTGAATTCACTCCAAGAGCAGCCGCTGTGCATCAGCAGCGATTATCAGTTTAACTGCCGTATCACACCGCACGGTCGCAAGATGCTCAAATCCAATAACTGTTATTCTCTTAATCCTCAGCTGTCATCATCAAATCTGCATGAGAAAGCAGACACATTGAACACTTCATGTAAATTTGGCTGGTGCTCATTGTAATTCCAAGTAGGACTATCTTATGTGGACTGTTGCAGTAATGAAATCCAGCAGAGAACAAAGGGTAAAGAGAGAGAGAAATGATGCGAGTGTGAACTGCTGCATGGCAAAATTGTTCTAAAAACACGTGTTGGATGGTAAGGGCCTGCACAGTTTGCCAACGCCAAACCAACCTTTATTTCTTTGAACTGTTGCATCTAGACCAGGCTTTGTTTCAACTCTCAGGTAAAAAGTAACTAAGTATATTTACTCAAGTACTGTACTTAGTACATTTGTAAGGTATCTATACTTTACCTGAGTATTTTCATTTTCTGCTACTTCAGATTTTGACTTCAATACATTTTAGAGGCAAATACTGTCATTTTTACTCCACTACATGAATTCTTAGATACTTTTCAGAATCAGGTCAATAAAACAAAATACAGTCTGGTGGGAAATTCACAAGCCACCCAGCAGGATGGAAAGTACTTCACATTATTAGTATATAAGGTAGTTAACATCAGCTCCATCTTTACCAGCTGCAACATTAAAGTGATGAACACAATAATGGATCAATAATTATAATCCAATGATATGATACACATGCATAAAGAGTATTTATAATTTTGGTACTTCAAGTATATTTGGATGCCAATACTTTTGTACCTTTACTCAAGTAAAATTTGAATGCAGGACATTTACTTAAATAAACAATTTGAGCACTTTTCCTACTGCTTGGTGCTGGCAGCCTGACGCCAACCGTGAGCAGTTAGAAATATTCCGATTATAAATCCAGGTAGAGATTACAAGAGTAAATCAGTGTCATCAGACCAAAAAACACCAAACACAACTTGTCAACAGTGCAGAATAATACATTTAAATGTCTTACATGTGTAACATATAATTTAATTTATGGACACTTTTTAAAGCCTTCTGTGATTCAATTTTAACATCCTTTAATTAAAACCTGGAGCTTAGGAAGATTAAGCGCTGCTTCCTGCTGTTAGAAGCACTACTTGTGGAAGCCTCAGTAATATCAGCACCATAGCTCTTGACAGATCTCATGCAAAGCTATCTAGGGTGACCAAACTTCCCAGTCTATACACAGACCTTTCCAGTTCAACCTGAGCAGCTTAAATGGGGCTCTGGAGTCCATCTCTGGGTCTCAGGAATGTCATTATCTGACTGTGACACCCCCACCTCCAGTCCTCAATCCAGTCTTCAACCCCTAAACCTTTACCATTGGCAAAGGAATCACTTAAATGATTGTTGCTGCGAGAAAATCCTCTGTCCGCCCTCTCATGTGTAAAGATCAAGGATGTTTGGGTATTATTCTCAACAGTGCAGAGGAAGGTAGAGAAAAGAGCAAGAAAGTCCAGAAGAATGTCATTCATAAGAAACTTCAGGGTCCCACTAGGAGTGGCGAGGGCTGCCATAGGGCCAGGGTCAAAGGTAATTTTGGGCTAAAGCCCGAGAGGAATGTCTCCACTTGGAGAGCCATCAATAAGGAAATGGGGAACATGAAAAGAAGTATATTCTTAAAAATATGCACGTCTATGTACCATATGTTCTAAGCATTGCTCACTGCTATGGCTATACTGAGGTAACGCCTGAGTGATCGTTTTATGACTCAAAGGCATTTTAATGTATTTTCATATACTATTGTAAAAAAATCATTGTCTATGACAATGACCATAAATGTACCAGTCAAGCAATCATCTAGTCTCCAGTGAGCAATCACGTAGGATGACATGATTCGGTCAAAACCAAGCTAAGCCAGGGTTTCAACGGAGAGTGTTATTTCAAAGCTGTGACAGAGAGTCCTAATCTTCACCCACCATCAAAGGACATGCAATGTGCTCTTGTAGGAAATGACCAAGTCCCCTAGTGCACAGAACTAAAACACAGGCCAGTGTACTAAAACACAGGCCAGGACACTTCGTCACAGGGAAAACTGGAAATGGCCAGGAGCAGAGAGATCATTAGACGACATGTATGGAGGCACACACACATACACAATATTTAAAATCTCCACTAGCCGGCTGATCCCACCTGCATAGCTTGTTGCAAAGGTTAATTTTTAAGCAGAAAACAATTTCTCTCACACAGGTTCAGTGACAAAGATGGGCTGATCACACCTGTGCAGCCTATAGTGAGTCTAAGCCCTCGGGTCACAGACCAGGTCAAGCAACCAACTAACAGATGCAGTGTGGAGAGAGAGACAAGAGGACTATCACTCCATACCCACAAATCCAAGGGATCCAGTTCACATACTGTCAGAAAATACTATTACTACTGTTAATAATTCTGAATAATTATTGTAATGAATTTGAAATTGCACAACTAAATCTCCAAACGTGATAAAATGACATGAATGACAATGAAATAATGTGCACAGATTTTTTTACCTCAGTATGACGCAATGATATGATAGTCGAGTTTCAGTACTTGCATCAAAATAAAACATTTTCAAATGTTTTTCTACAGAAAATTTTTAATTTTTTAAACACAAGAGGTTGAACAAGAACTTTTTCTAAAGAAAA